ATTAAATATGAGGATGTACTAAGAAAAGTCTTTTCCTACTACCGAAACAGATATCCAGTGGTCAATGAAGCGACTGCATCTTCCACCAATCTGAATGCAATTGATCGAGCTCTTCACCAGTACAAGCGTCGCCGATACAACCAACAATTTAACTCGGACAAACAATCACAGAATCATCAATACATTGAACTCCAGAAATATCTGGATGAGGAGCGTTAGTCTTTTGTTACTTTCGAATTTATGATGTTGTTAATAATTCTAACCATGGTGACTTTGAAGCAACCTTACCACTTGGTTCAGTTCCTAATGTCCTTGACTGGTGGCGTGATAATGCACCCCGTTTCCCGATCCTTTCTCGAATGGCCCGTGATTTTCTAGGAGTTCCAGCAAAGTTCCAGCAAGTGGTGTTGGTGTTGAGAATATTTTCAGTACTGCTCGGGATGTTTGCCACTATCGCCATAACCGCCTTGCGCCCGAAACAATCGAAGCAATCATGATTCAAATGTCTGCCGATCGCTTTGAGCTGAAACGGGAATACACATTTCTTGAGGATGATGACAATGATGAGCAGAAGGATGTTGGATATAAGGATTTGATCGTTGAATTGGAAGTCAACTATATCGGTGACGAGGAGGATTTAGGTGGATTTGAGGATGATGATGAGGATGATGGGCTCAACCTTCCTTCAATGCAGTCCTCAACCTTCCTTCAATGCAGTCTTACCAGCGATGTTCTGCTATTCATCCATCACTCACTAATCCACAAGCTCATTCCATGACAAGCCAGCCAGAAATTTCAATCCCACAATCTCATCCTACAACAACCCGGCCACGTCGTGTTATCCATGAGCCAGGATACTTTCATCGCCTTGGTAATGGTAAATAACTGATTGTCTAGTTAGATTTAGTTGATTTTTTATCCAGATTCATCTTGGTGTTGCAAAAGGGGTTTTTCATTCCCGCAGAGACTGCAAGAGTTGTTCCCCTTCATTGTCGACACCAGAAGATGTAGGGAGTTTCAAGGATTTCAAGATAGTTATATAAAATTCC